AAAATCAAGTTTTTCACGGTAGCCCCCGAATCAGTTTTCGCAAAATAAGTGTTTTAGTATTTTATTCAGAAAATTGCGAAAAATCGCGTACTCTGATGTAATAGTAAGTCGGGGTGTTACAACTTGGTATCAGAGCGCACGTTTCTGCGTCTCTGAAAAGTTTTTCAGTCAAAAATTTTCAGAAAAACCTGAACCGTCACGCTCACGCCTCGCCGACTCCAGGTAAGTGTTGATTCAGTTTTTTTCAGATTAAAAACATATTACTTTGTCTATGCTCAGAAATCAGAAATCAGACTTAGTTAAGATGCTCAAATCAGGTTCGGACTTTAGTGTTCAGATATAACTCTAGAATTCAGGGCATTCAGATATGACTCTAGACTTTAGTATCTTTTGTTATGACTCTAGAGTTCCTCAGGTTTCATGTCAGTATTTATCGGCCATTTTTGGCAACTCGTCAAGAGATCTGTGTGCCTTAGCAATCAGTCAGAAAATCATCATGTAATTTTGAACTTTTTTTTTCAATGTTCAGATGCCGCCACGTAGGGAACCCGATCATCCGGCTCCTACTCAGGCTACAGTGGTCGCCCAGTTCCGCGACTACCATGCCGAAAAGTTCTCAGGGCAGGAAGATCCTCGCGTAGTTGACGAGTGGATTCAAGGCCTGGAGTTTATCTTCGAGGTCATGGAGTGCCCTGAGAGATATCACGTCATTTGCGCTCAGCTTCAGCTCACCGGTGATGCCAGGCTCTGGTGGAACGCTTACTGGAGCATGCGTCCCGGCGAGAAGGCGGGATGTACGTGGGAGATGCTCAAGGAGTTAATCCGTGAGAAGTACTATCCCACATACTACCGAGCAGAGATGGAGCGTCAGTTTCTATCGCTCCAGCAGGGTACTCGTCCTGTCGACGAGTATGAGAGAGAGTTCACGAGACTTGCAGCTTTTGTTCCTGATTTGGTCCGCACGGAGGCCCAGCGAGTGCAGCGGTTCATTGACGGACTTTACCCAGCAGTCCATCATAACATCGTGGGACACGGGACTCAGACGTACGCTCGTGCCGTTTCTATCGCCAGGAGGTGGACGCTAGTATCAGGAGGGAGGCAGTCCGTGATCGTGCTCAGCCATCTGCTCCAGCTCAGCCATTTGCAGCTCCACCAGCTTTACCAGCTCCTCAGCCAGCAAAGGAGAAGAAGAGGAAGGCAAAGGGTGCACAGACTGACCGGAAGACCCGACAGAGACAGCAGCCGATTCCACCATGCCCGACTTGTGGTCGACTTCACAGGGGAGAGTGTCGTGCTGGACAGGACATCCGTTATTATTGCCAGGAGCCGGGACATTTTGTGAGTCGTTGCCCGAAGAAACTCCAGCAGCAGCCTCAGCAGCCACAACAGCAGCAGCAGCCACGACAGCAGGCACAGAGGCCGCCTCAGCAGCCGCAGCAATAGAGGGGCAGGCAGCAGGCCAGGGTTTACGCGGTCGATCAGGCAGAGGCAGCTCAGCAACCAGGTACAATGTCCGGGATGATTGTTCTCAATGATATTCCTGTGTTCGCTTTATTCGATACTGGAGCGACGCATACCTTCATTTCACGCCGATGTCTCGATGCCATCGGAGTTCACGCAGTTACCGCTGTCGATCCTCTCGAGGTGAGTTTAGCCTCGGGACGAAAGATAGTGACTTCAGCCAGAGCCTCAGATCTTAGCCTTTCCATTGGTGGCTGAGTATTGACTGCCGACGCATTTGTTCTCGAGATGAAGGATTTCGATCTTATTCTCGGGATGGATTGGCTATCCTTTTATCATGCTGACATCAGGTGTCATGACCGGGAGATCACCCTCTATCTTCCGGGATACGAGTCGATTACTTTCTTCGGCTCCAAGAACCGTTCACTGCCTCATGTTGTTTCGATGGCGAAAGCCACTAAGCTATTACGACGAGGCAACTGTCAGGGTTACCTGGTGAGCCTTGTTGACGATTCTCAGAAAGCGCGGACACCTCATGA